TACCAAGATCTGATAAAATTATGGTAAAATTAATCACATATTGATTTTGAAAAAGATAGGCTAAGTATTACCTCAACTAATTTGAAAAGCATAGCAAAGAAAAATAGAAAATCTACCAAATTTTTAAAAATGGAAACAAAAAGTCAGCACTACCTCCTAATTAAAACTAGTTAGGCCACATATTAATGTAATTTATTTTAAAATATGTAATAGAAAGGTACACAGTGGCCTATCTTTATCTTGTTCAAAGAGCAAATAACTTCGATGACTTAAAATCAAGAATAGCAAGAGATTACTAATAAGTTAGACACCAATTCTTCTCATTAAAACCCTCAATATCTGTATTTAACCAAAGGAAAAAAGCATAAGGGGATCTAATGGCTTATTAACCATCTACCATTTCCACCAGCTTTACTTAAATCTCTCCCCTCATACTCTAATACAAACATATACTTAGAAGAAATTTGTGTATATGCAATTTTTCTATCCATGCATTATTTTTTTGGCACTGGCAATCAAACTCAGGACCTTGTGCTTACCAGGCAGGCACTGTGCTCCTGAGCTGTATTCCCAGCTCTGCTCATGTATTTCTTACTCTAACATTAAAGATAACTACTCCACTGGCGATAAAGATGGTGCTGGATATTCAATCCAATGGCAAACACCACCGCGCTCCACCTCAGCTCAGTGGAGGTTTAAAAAAAAGAGACAACAGAATTTAGGGTTAGAAAGAAGGCATGTTTTAAAGACAAACTATGCGAGAATTCTGCAATGGAGCTTTGGAAGAAAGAGGAAACTGAACTGCTAACGCTGGAATTATATCCTTCAGCATTATACAGAATAATTACAGACAGTGCCATGATAATAAGCCCCGTGTCCAGGGTGGGGGACTGAGAAATGGGCTGTGTTTGCCCACATCAACAAGCTACAGGTTTTCACAAAACATCAAGAATGAAAGTTGCCTTAGGTCTTCATTGTAAAGGCTATGGTAGAGGAAATGAAGATTGGAAGGCATTCACTAAACATTTTAAGAGAGGACCAGAATAATAATAGAGGGTGGTGGTGCTTGCAAAATATCCTAAGTAAAACAATGGGAAATGCATATTTACTTAAAACTTCAGAAGACACTGAATATATTCTCTTAAGCAAGACATGATTTCATAAGCAAATACTATTCAGTGATTTTTTTTGTTCTGAGAGCATATAATCTTTGCTTCCAGAAAGTTTATTATTAGTTGAGAAGACAGATGAATAGAGATAATTATAATACAAGGCAGTTAATAATTGAGGTTAAGGACAGTATGAAAATATACAAGAACACAAAACCCAGCTTTCTGGAATGAGGGATAGCCAACTCAAAGAGAAGGAATAAAGTTAAATTAGTAGCCAATTATACACACCATTACTTATTGTATTCTTACATTCTGATAGAAATAAAGGTACATTTTTATAGGATTACTTGTATCTTCCTGCCCCTTTTATTTTCCACTGGGAAATTACACGTCTTAATGATGCATGTGTACACATTTTTTTCTATACAATCAAAATATTTAGCATTACAAATAAATTTCACCCAAAATGAATGGAGGGGGCGCCGAAGATTGGATGCTTGCATGTGGCTAAATAAGCACTCTCCCACTGCCTGAGCTATATCCCTAGCCTTACACAAAAAATTTTGACATTCGCTTTCTAAGAATTTTAACTTAACCAGGAACAAGGTAAACAAAGGGGAACAGCAAAATGAAACATTTAAACATTTAAAGTTAGCAAGAGATGAACAATTTGCTGTGAGAGCAAAGAGGGGAAAAGAGCGCTTAGTAGGAATTCAACCCTACTCATCTTTGAAGCCAAGACTAATGTAAGGCATTTCAATAGCTAGGGGGGTCAATACCTAGTGGAATCTTCAAAGAATGAAGCAAGAGTTTGTAGGGATTGTAGATTAAACACCACACGCAAAGGTCTGTGCTGGGCAAAACCTGCTACATCTGCATGAGAGGAGATGATGACGTTCAGGGGAAGCACAGGGTCTGGATGGATGGAACTGACACTACCCACGCGGGGGAGGATGCAACCGGATGATGAAGTCTCAAATACATAGCACAAATTTTTGGATTTTTTTCTCAAAAGCAACTGTGATCCCAAACTGCTTTTGCTCTGAACAAGGATTTTTTTTTTCTAAAGGGAAAAAGTCTGGCAGTGTGAAGCATGGATCAAAGGGAAGCAAGCCTGGCGGCAAAAGGAGGCCTACTGACAAGCCCAAATTCCACCCTGTGCTCAGGATCTGACTGGACTGGCTCTCACTGGCCCCCACCTCGCCACCAGTCCCTGTAAGTCACCAGTGTGTGGGGCTGGCCCAATGTGAGGAAATATTTAACTGTTTATGTAATCATTACTCCTGATGCTGCGACTTTCAGTGTGCCCAGTTATTACCACAAAAGAGAACTTGGCCAGAGGAAGTCAGCAACTCACTGTGTCCTTCCCAGTTTGCACTGGTGCCCCCAGCTCTTTACTCAGAGCCCACTGGCTTTCTGAACGGCCTGCTCAGCCTCCTCTTCCCTCTGTTTCATCCTTTCTTTCCCTTCAATTTCCATCCACCTTCTTTACCTTAATGATGTATATACACAGATCCATAAAATAACTTTGTCAAAGCCTAGTGGAAACAAAGGCTTGTAAGTTCATTTATTTGTAGGCCACCGTTCTGAATTTCTTTTAAAGTGGCTGTGATTAGGTCAGCATCAGCAGTAACGCTTTCATCTTGGGGCTGGGGATTTAGCTCAGTGGCATAAGCACCTGCTTGGCAAGTTCAAGGTTGTGAGTTTGATCCTTGATTCCACCAAAAAAAAAAAAAAAAAAAGTAATGCTTTCATCTGAATATTTTGCTTGAATGTTTGTTATTACTTGCCAATATCAAACACACATTTCCACTTCTTACAGTTGATGTGTGAAGACTTGAGCACTAATTCCTACTAAATACATTTACTTTTAAAGATTAGTGCTTAATATTTTTCTTGAGCACTTTAAAAATCAATCTTACCAATTTTCATAGCAACACAGAGAGTATTATTGTTAACTTTATAGGGAGTAACAGAACAATCTGATAAGCAGATCTGGAAATTGTACCGATTTTTACTAAGCAGCACAGCTCCAAATTTTTCTTGAGCCTCTCATTATGCTGACAAAAGAACCAATGAACCACTTACCCCAGCTGTTTTCCTCCCACTTATCTCTACAAAAAGTAAATAAATACACACCACAGGAGAACAGGAAGCATCACTACTCTGTAATAAAGCCCCAATGAAGTGACAGCGGTCATTGTTTTAAGACTTCAGTGTTATTTATAAGTGAACAAAGAATTAATTACGGTTAAGCAGAACGAACTCATCACCTGCTCCTCTTTTAAATGACAGAAGCTGTCAGGTAAGGCCACCCTCAGGTGTGCTGCATGGCAGAGCAGTGCCAAAAAACACCTCTGAGCATGGCCCCAGAGAAGGTTTACATACAGTGGCCAGACTGCTTCCTTTTCACCCCAGAATTAATTTCGAACCTCCAAAACGCCACTTCAGTTACCAGAGGGCACAATAAAGGATCCAGAGGCAAAGGAACGTCATGGGGAGATTAAACACCATGGTTTCATGTACAAGGGGGCCAAGATACACAAATTAAGGGACTACTGATGAAGTCACTTGCACACAATAGGGTCACTCAAGCAAGGACCTGGGGTACGGATTTTTTTTTTTTGTACCTGGGATTGAACTCATGACCTCACACTTGCCAGGCAGGCGCTTATGCCATTGAACTAAATCCCCAATCCTGAGGTACGGATCTTGAACGAGGGCTATATTCTGCTTATTAGTGGAATTCTGTAAAATGCCAAATTTGCAAAATTTAAAGTTTCAGGACAGAATGCTTTTAACAGAGATTTAAAAAAATACCTCTCCATATTGTCCCTTGATCTAAAGATTTTTAAAGTTCCCCAGCAAAACTAAATTTTCAAAAACCACAACTAAAGTGTGTTCGCTCATGTTTGGGGGTTTAAAAAACGAGCATTATTTCTTAAGGCCTGAAAAGTTCACCAAAACCAGCGAGAAAACTGACTTCTCATGTCAAAGACTAAACCAGGGGATTCAATGACACTGAACAAGTAACACTGCAGAACGCTTAAAAATAGAAACGACAAAACTATCAGAAGAAACAATTCCGGAAGTGGGCTGAGTTATCTTCTGGAAACCCGGCTCTGGAATTGCAAAGATAGACGACTCTTTCCAGAAGCAAATCGCCAGAACCCCAACAATAACAATTAAGTTCTGCAAGCTCTGTTGCTCCATGTGTCCTAACCGCTGCTCCCCATCATAAATACTGAAACACATGAGGCGAGGATCGGTTCCTAGACCGCCGGGACCTGCAGCCCGGCGGCGTGGTCGGAAGGCCACCGACCTCTGCGCCTAGGCCGGGGGTTCCCCGGGCACCCGCGCCGGCCACGCCGCTTTTGTCTGGGCCGGGCACTCGGCCCAGCTCGGGCCCCGCGTCCCCTCGTGGACGCTGGTCCTCCCGCCCCGGCCGGGTCAGCCGCAGCCAGGGCTCCGGCCTGTGGGCGCCGGGGTGCGTCCTGCTGCGTCGCCGTCGCCCGCGCCCCGGCCCTTGGGGTCGCCTCACCTGCATCCCCGGAGCCCCGGGGTCGACCCCGGTGTCCAGGACAGCTACGAGCACCCCTCGCCCGTCATACTCCGGGTAGCGGCAGAGGAACGAAGCGGCCCCGGTCTCTTTCTTGGGCAGGAGACCATGGAAAGGGAAGGGCTCCTCGGTCGCGGCGGTGGCCATGGACGCAGGACGGAGGACGGACGAGGAAGAGGCAAACTGCCAGGCTGAGCGCAGACAAGCGGCGCGAGGACACCAGGGCGGCCGCGGGCCAGAGGAGGGGGCGAGGGGCGGAGCCTGGAAGCCACCCGCCAATCCTTGGCGTCCAGAGTGAGACAGCCAATCACGCGCAGCTACGTCAGCTAACGGCGCCGCTCCCAGGAGCTAAACCCGGGAGTTGCCGCGGTTGCAGCGAAGTGGGCGGAGTCTGGCCCCGGCAGTGGAGGCGGTGGCTTGGCGGCTGGGATCTTAAAGAGAACTGCGTTTAAGCTGCTTGCTAGCAAACTGCTGGCCTTCAAGCAAAGCGTTCTGAGGTTCTGGCCAGGATTATGAGAAACGAGAAAAAGAGAGAGAAACGAGCCACATGTCAGAATTAGCGGCTTCCCCACGGCCCGGCGAAGGACGGTTTCCGAGCTTGAGGTCGAGAGGGAAACTGGCGCCGCCGGCCGAGCGAGGGAGGGGCTGCTCTTGCGTCCCAGGCCTTGGGTTCAGAGAAAGAGGCCCAAGAGTCGCGGTGAAGGTTTTGCTCGGGTCGTGGCGTCCTGAGGGCCGGGATACGGTGTGGAGAAGCAGCGGTTTGGGGTTCAGTCCACAGGAGGTGGGTTGCGGGCCCCGCAGCCCGAGACAGAGCGCGGCTCCGATTGGGCGTCTCCTGTCCCCCTCGCTTACCCTTGGCAGCCGGGATTTCTGAAGAACATTTTTTTAATAGATTGAAGTGCCCAGTTACCCCTTAGGGGTGTCCGCTCAATTATCGAGTTGCAATTTTTCAGTTTTGGATCGGCAGTAACGGCGCCGAGTGGCTTTCGTGATTTGTGTTCATCCAAGGTAATAAAATCATAGCTTTCTGTGTGGGTGTGCCTACCACAAACCCCTTCGGCAGTCTGCTAAGGCAGTGCTTTTTGGACAGTACAATGAACTGTCAGAGCCTTTTTAAAAAATGTTTACTACGAAATCTATAGGATTGTAAAGACAACTTTGCTGAAAGCACAGTTATCGAAAATGTTAAAACCAGTTTTGTTATATTGCGCTAGCTTTGCATATGTGTACATGTGTGCTGCCTTTGCACTGAAGGAGCTAGTGCCAAGTTTAATATTTGTCATTTCAAAATTTGAGGTGCTCATAGATGTTTTCAGATGTATGTAACGCAATTTTTACTGGTGACAGCTTAACATTAACAGCTAATACTACTCTGGTTAATAGCTACATTTATAATTTAAAGAAACATTAATGGAAAAGTTGGTGAAAATCAAGATGCAGTTTTTTTCCAGTACAGGTTTTTGAACCATTGGGTTCTCTCCACAGACTCCAAGTTAAGACTGTGTGGTAAAGAATCCTTATATATGTATGTCAGTCTCCAAGCCACAAGATTTAGAAATGGCCATGTGGAGTTTTCTGCTGGTTCCTTGACCACTTCTTTATTCCATAAGGTTACAGACACATGTTCTTTTTAATGAAGAGAAAGAGTAGAAAAGTTGTTTTCTTTCTTATTCCCAGCTGTGCTTACATTACCTCTAGAAAAGAATTTTCAATTGCTTATACAGGAAGAAGAGAATGATAAACTCAGAAGACATTCAATATAGAACCAGATATTTTCAAATGAACCATATTATAGTCATTTCATTTTACACCAGAGGAAACAAATGGATGAACTGACTGCTATGGGTGACAAAACAAGTTATTATGGGAGGCCTAGATTCCTGTTTTCCTGTCTGTCCCCAAAGCTCTCTGCCACACCCGTTGTGCACACCTGCCAAGGCATGATTTCCGGCCCAGTGACTGGGTAGAGAATGAGCTGCTCAGTATGAAAACCTAAGTGGCAGTACTTTTACGAGATTCCTGTAACAATATTCTTTAACTTTATTATGTTTTATTGCATAGCCTAAAGTTTTAGAAAAATTATATATGTATCTCTTTGTACAGTTGTAAGATGACATCTAAATTTGTTCTTTGAATTTAGGACATTATAAAGGACATAATTTGGGGCATCTTATAAATATCAGCATTATAAAGCATCTGGATCACTCATTTAATTATATTCACTTAAATGTAACCCTGATATGTACCATTATCTATAAAATACTTGAAATTTTTAAAAAGTGAATTTACTTTACTTTCTTCTTGAAACTTTGTTTCCATTGTACAGAGGATTTGATTCTAATATTTACACTTAGAATGGAAGGTCATATTAGTTACTTATCATTTTATTAACAAAAGTATGTCTAATTAAGTTTTTAAAATTTTCTGGCATTAAATTTCTTTTGGACTGATATGTTTCAATTACAAAGTTGATCAAAAAAACATGAATTTTAAGTTTTGATTAAAAATTACAGAACCTGGACTGGGAATATAGCTCAGTGGTAGACTACTTGCCTAGAGTGTACAAGTTCTTATAGTCAGTCTTAGCACTGCAATATATATATATATATATATATATATACACACACACATACACACACACACACACATGAATACGTGGAGAATAAATTTTTTTTTTTAAATGCAGCTTTAGGGCTGGGGATTTAGCTCAGCGCTTGCCTTGCAAGCATGTGGTCGCGAGTTCAACCCCTAGTACCAGTAAAAAAAATGCAGCTTTAAAAAGATGCTTGGTATATCATATTTCTGTTGACAGGACTACTGCAGGTGCATGGACAAGGTTTCCATGTCTACTTCTTTGTAAAATTAGAACCTTCAGATGATAACCTTTTAGGGAGCAAAACTAGCATATAGAAGTATTATATGACTTGCTTTAAAGGTAACATGAGCAAGATTCAGAAGCATAGCGACTCCTATTTTATGAACCACTTATGACAAGTGTCATCCTTTGCCTAAATTGGAGAGGTGGATTTAATGAGACATGAAAAGTTTGATGTCTTGGTTACTTTAATCTTGCTGAGACAAAATACTCAATGCTCCAAATTAAGGAAGGAAAAGTTTATTTAGTTCACAGTTTGTAGAGATTTCAGTCTGTAATCAGCTGGTTCCGAAGCAGAATGGCATGAAAAAGAGGTAACAGTTCATGGCCATAGAAGACAGAAAAAGCAACAAGAGCAAAAAAGGAGGACAGGGGAGAAGCAAGCCTCTTCCTCTTTTATATTGTACACAGACTTCCCTAGGTAGGGTGGATCCTTTATACCCAGACCGTCTTCATGCCCTCTTACACAGGCTCAGGAGGTTTACCAAGCGAAGACCCTAGCCCCCTCCTGAGTAACTTAGTTAAACTTCTAAACTTCTCAAGTGGACACAATATCAACCATTAAAATCCATCCCTTGTCAACTTGGCAACATTTCTTTAAACAGATTTCCAGATACAAAGACATGCATATTAGCATCTCATAACTTGAACATTATAACACAGGTTTAATAATTCTTAAAAACTGCTAGTAAGTCAATCAACATTATATTACATTAGAACCGAAACATTCTAGCCCTGGGCCCCCCAAAACTCATATACATCCCTTTTTGCTTTACCTGCTTTTGCTGTCTTCTGCTGCTGTGAATTGTTGGCTCTCACCACGGCCACCCTGCCTTGGAGCCAGTTGATGATGGACTGAAACTTGTACAAACTGTGAGCTAAATAAATCTTTCCTTCCTTAATTTTGGACATTGTCTTGTCCCAGCAACAATTAAAAACCAACCAGGACATTTGACATGATAGAAAGGACTTACTAAAATACTATGTATAAATGTATATGTATTCTTACGCACAGAGAACATACTTGAATCTGTTTACTACTGCAGGAGACAGCAAAGTTTCCCTACTGCGTTCATCTATTCAGTCTCAGGACATCCCAGGAAGCTGACTGGAGCCTCTTGGGTGGATTGCTATAGATCTCAAGAAGCGTTACCCATTTTCTTCAGTGTGCCTCATTTTCTACAAGTGTAATGATGTAGGAAAGGTTTGGAAAGTCCGTGTTTGGAGGAATCCAAATAAAAGCTGGTGGTAATAAATTTTTAGTATTAGAGATTATGTTTTAATTGCTCTCCCCATTTTAATTGCTCTCTCCTTCCATGGCAATCTTTACTCCAAAACCAGGCAGAAAAAAGTAAATAGAGCTTTTGCTATTAAGAAAGTTTTACCTCAAATCTCTCACTGTTGAGCAAAATAACCTAATAAATATCCTATCTGTAGTTGCCCTATTATCTCTCAATAGCTTTCCCTGAAATCCTCATTTAATCATTCCTTGCTTTCCAATCATTCTAATGAAATTCCTTCATCCTCATCCATCTGCCTAAGTGTTGAATTATCCCTTTATCCAGAGTATACACCCTATATATGGTGCCTGCCCACTAGTCATTTAGTAGCAGTCTTGGTTATCTGTCTTGTATGTAAAATTCAATACTGTCTTTGGTTTCAAGCATCCATTAAGGGTCTTGGCATGTACCTTTCCCACAGAGAAGAGGCAGACCACTGTAACTATAAACTACTATATAGGAATTGAGGTGTGCATGGCTGGTATACTCTCTGTGGTGAGACAATTTACTAATAGGAAGTCATACAGAATTATTAGCAAAGCAAGGAGAAAATTATTTAAATAACTAAGATTGTGAAGTCTATGAATTGATAGTACAAGGCAGTGACAAATGGCCATCTGTATGCCTTCCTGTGTAGACATCGCCATTTAGGGGCCAAGGAGAACTGGCTTGGAGAGTCTGGAAACCTGAAGTTCAGCCCTGGCTCTGCTGGCTTATGAGAACTCCTCTTGGCCTCCATTTCCTTGCTTACATGGGAAGAAGTTATTGGAGACTCTTTTCTTCTTTTTCTTAGTGTTGAGCATTTTATTGTTTTAAAAGTTTTACATTTGCAATTCCCTGAGATAAAGGAGTACGGTGCTGAACCTTGAAATCTTTAATGCTTATCTGTTGGCTTAGATGTTGTAGTGCTTTACTTCTTTCTGTTAAGTACTCTGTGAATTTATAGTCTTGATCCTGGGCTAAAATTGTGTATCGTATTCCTGAAGGATGTTCAGAGCAGTCTTGCCAAACTGATGGTTCTCATCAACTAACAAAGCCCCAGTTCTAATGATCCTGCCAAGTTCTCCACTTTGCTCCTCAGACATCTAGAGAACATAAAGAGATGACACTGAAGATGATGTGAACCATTTTAACATGGTGACAGTGAGCAAAGCCACCATTGGCTGCAAAATGGAACAAACAGCAACCATTGGTTTGCGTTGGGCCTACTGTTAAGTGGCGGGATTTTTAATTTCAGGTACTGTGTTGGGTAGAGTTAGACAAGTCAGCAATGAAAATCTTACTCCATTTCTCCCATCAATGTTTGACCCTTCTCCTGATGATGACTAGCCAGCTCTTCTGTAACCAGAGGTACACCTCTTGGAGAATCTGGGCAGAACAGTAAATCCAGTGGCATCCAAAAACTGTCAGAGCTTGTATATTTAAACACATAAGAAAAGTATGTGGCAGTGGGTTGGTTTTTTGTAGGTGGACTGTGTCCTGGGAAGATTGGAAGGGCTTAGGGAACAGACTTCCCTCCATTTGCAGCATAAACAAGATCTCTGTTGGGCACAAGCTCTAATCCTGAGGCCCTCTCTAAGGCCTCCAGATGCAAAATGTTCAGTAAAGAACTGCTTCAAACCTCTGGGACAGTCAAGATAGTCAAGGCTGTGATGAGAAAGTAGATAAGCCCAAATTTCAGTGTCAGAAGTCACATTCCTCACTCAATGTTTCCTCATCAGTTTCAAGTCAGCAAGGGTTATGCTCGAAGCTGGTCCTGCTCTTGGATCTGGGATGAAGGAGCAGGGATGAACTGTGGTGGCAGGGCACTGTGATAGGGCAAACTAGGAGGTAGGTCTTCCATCTTCCATCACCTCTGCTCACTTTTCATTGACCCAAGCAAGTCCTAAAACCAAGCTCAAATTAACGAGGACAGAAAAATGCATTTTGTTATATGCTGAGAAGTCTTAAGAACAAGTTGTAGGCAGATTCTGCCTGGTGATGGCCCTCTTCCTGGTTCGTGAATGGACATCTTTTCTCTGTGTCCCGACATGGAGGTAGTAAGGCCTTCAACTTGTGACTTAATCACTTCCTCCCTTTTCAATACCACTTCTTTGGACTAAAGTTTCAACATAAGAACTTGGGGTGGATGCAAACACGTAACCTACAGCAGGAACAATAAGGATATTTGGATTGTGTCACTGCCACACCCTCACCTATGTTTACTTTTACACTGGCGAAACATTAGTAATGTATCTACAGTGGGAAGTGCACCTCCCTCTGTAGTTAGTAGCCTGGCATGAACTGCTAGTAGACAGTGAGGAGGAGATGGTCACCCAGAAAAACAGTACAGCAAATATTTGTACTCCAGGTCATCTCGAGCTATAAACCATGCCCTTCCTAGGTGAAAAATCCAGTTCTCTAATATCCAATTATTTCTCACACTGTTTCTTACTCAGAAATTTTTCAATCTTTGGCTATTAGTTTAACATTTACTATTCAAGCTATTTGGTTATCACTTATTGCGTAGTATTGCTGTCTCTGTTACTTTGGTGTTCTTCTAAGTGACAAAAAAAAAAAAAAAAAAAAACCACATTAGAAAAATAGAATAACACAAGCAGGGGATTTAGCTCAGCAGCATAAGCGCCTGGCTAGCAAGCATAAGTGGTGAGTTCAATCGCCGGTACCAACAACAAAAACAATGACAACAACAAAATAGAACAGCATTACTCTTCGTGGTATCACAGGAAGATATGGATGCCAAAAAAGACATTTCACCTTGAGGAGTGTAAAAGATTTTAGGTCTCCTCAAATTGTGTATCCTAGAAATATGTTGGGTATACAAAGCCATCTATAATATACAGGTATAGACACATACATAACTCCTCTCTTTTTTTTTTTTACATAAATGGTAGTATAGTACATATTCTCCATCCTGTATTTTGTTTTCTTTTTGCAATACTTACTGATGAATGTAACTACATATAATTATTATTAGTCATGCATATTTTTAATTTATTTGGACATGTCATTGTTTATTTAACCCTGTGGATTTGTTTTCAAATCTCTTGTGAAATTGGCAATAGGCACTTGACTGAAAGTTCATTTGTTCCCAAAATATAAATCTTTCAGGCAATAAAAATCTTCAGTTCTGAGAGACTCAGATTACCATCTATTGCTTGTATAAATTCCATTGCCATCTTCAGAGGAATTCAGTTTAAGTCTATGCTGAATGGGCAGGAAGACTGTAGCCCACCTCTTTCTGGCAGGAGGTGATTGTCAGGAGTGGACTCCTTGCCTGAGGCAGACAGAAGGAAACACATAGCTATGCAGTGCACGGTGGAGGCTTAGTATGAGGTTCATGAATGCCAGATTCCCAGGGCTTGGGGTGGAGGGTGCCCTAAAACCTCCACTGGCCCAGCACCTCTCTCTAGCTCCACTCTTAGAAAGTCCAAGTTTTCAGAACCTCTGCTTTTAAACTGCCATGTGATCCCACTGCATATTTCCAGTAAGCATTCCTTTGACTTTCTTTGGGTTTTTCTAAAGTGCTTTCCTGGAGCAGAGCAGATTGTATGTTAGCTTTCTTTCAGTTACTACTAACTGAGAGAGTCAACTTAGAAAGAACAAAGCCAATCTTGGCTGTTGGCTTCAGGGGTTTCTGTCTTTTCCTTTGAGCCTGTGAGAGCACATCCTGGTGGGGATGCTTGGCAGAGTGAGACCATTCACTCACCTTTTGGCGAGGAAGTGAAAGAAGAGTCGGGGTTGGGGTCTTATGATCCCCTCTTCAAGGGCATGTTTCTGTCCCCTGAAGACCTCCTACTACACCCAGCCCTCACCTGCAGGGTACACCACATCCCAGTGGTGCCACGCATCTTTGGGGGGCGCTTGAGTCACAAGATCAAGGTCAGCAATTTCTTAGCATAGCGAACCCTGTCTCAAAATTTAAAAAGAGTCAAGGGATGGAGTTGTAACTCAGGGTGAAGCCCTTGAGCTCAGTCTCCAGGACCACACACATGTGCATACACATACACAATCATTCTAAATTATGGTACTATATTTGTTTTGTTTCATCCTAATTCCTGATGTGTAAACGCATTCTCACTGAGTTTTCTGACTGGAAGTCACCCGATGATGATAGCGTGCATGAAGTGGGGCGGGAAGGAATTGCTCCTGCCTGAATGGCGTCACTCTAGGAAGTACCGCAGAGAGCACTGGGGCCTGCTGTGGTTCAGGGTTGGACTTGGTAATCCAGAGCTGTTGTCACATGCATCATTTGCACAGCATTGCAAAAATCCCCACCATCTGGCCACACTTGCCATGCCAGAAAAACACTTTAGACACAGGATTCCAATTAAAACCTAATCTCAGTCATCATCCTACAGATCCTGAATTGAACAAGAGGTGGGGAGCATAAGAGCAAAACATCAGAAGGATCTTGCCTTCTGTGTCTAGTTCCATCACAAATTAGCTACCTGACTCTCGTCAAGGCCTCCAGCCCCATGCCTATAAAACTGAGGGTTTTATGAGTTACAGAGGAAAAAATATCTTTCAGAGTGGTGAAATATACATTCCATTACTGTCATGTGGCACCTATGGTGTAGAGACTCAAAAATGCTGCTCGCAATCATGTTTAGCGTTCCACTACATGTAAAGGCTTACGTGAATCAGGCAAGCTGATTTTGTTTAAAGGACTATTAAGTTTGCAAGACAGGTGTTTTAAAAATCAAAGTAAGCATATATAGGAAAGGTACCTTACAAGCCTGTTTCTTGAGGTAAATCAAGGGACTTATTGTTTGTGGATGTTACTTTTTGCTGGTCCTACAATTTAATTTGTTTTGTCAACATGTTGGATCTTACAGAACTATTTTTCATACCATTAATAAAATAATTAACAAGTGGAGAACTGGTTTCAAAAGTTCCTTTGTGTGTGCACGCATGAACGAATATGGCAGCGTTTTGAGGTGTCAGACTGAAAATTCTCCAGTCTTCCAAGGCAGACTTTCAGTATTTCTTTGGAACAAACCAATTTCCTAAGTAGTCATAAAGTTTATGAGGTGTTTTTGGAGAAAACAGAAAAAAGCCACATGGAAAGAGATTTTTAAAAAGGAAATCTTAATTGAATTTTTCAAAGATTTTTGTATGCTATTTTATTAGTTTGAAAAAATCTTTAACAATTTATGAGTTTGAAAAAAACTTTAACATATTCACAGACACACCCCATACATTAAAATCAGGAGGCAGTTATCACTTGAATACTGAGAAAAATATTTCCTCAACCACTGTCTCCAAACTTGCACAAAGATCTGAATCACCCAGTGCTGTTGGTAAAATTTCCTGAGTGTTCTGCATAGAACTACTGAATCCCTGTGTCTGCGAGAGTCTGCAGTAATCTGTATTTTTGGTACCAGGGATCAAATTTATGACCTCTCACGTGCAAGGCAGATGCTTACACCACTGAGCTAAATCCCCAGCCAAGTAATCTGTATATTAAACACAGACCATAGGTAATTATTCTCACCAGGGAGCTTTGTGGGACATTGAGTTCAACTGTACCTACCTGCTGAATTCAGTCCTAAGACAATTCTGTAGTACAGAATGAGAACTGCAAAGTTTAAGACTTTTTTTTTTTTATCCCATTAGGTGATGTACCATTATCAGTTTCTCATCTCCCAGCTTCAAACTCCCCTTTCTCTGCTTCCCAGTGTGATGATGGACCTGGCGCCCAGCCCATGTCTTCTTAGCCAACTGGCCCCATTTTAAGTTTTGCCAAATTTTTACACTTTGGATCACCAATTAGCCCCTCCTAGTATCATAAGAACCCTTGGGCTAGGCTTTTTTTTCTTCCAAAAATGGAAACTACAAGGTTTTTTTTAAACAACATTTTTCTTGGGAACCCACTGGGATTAAGTTCTTCCTTTGAAACCATTTCAAGGTTTTCCATACTGTTAAATGTGTTTTTCTTTTTTTCTTCAAATCTAAGGCTTTCCTTGGTTTTTAATTCCCTCCTGGGTGTCTTCCTGTTGTCTCTCCCCTGCTGGTTCTCCAAAGTCAGCATGCTCTGAGGCAGTCCACCCACACCTAACTCCTATGGTGAGGAAATCCAGTTGTGGCTTTAAATCACATTTACACTCCAAAGACCAGCTAGACTTCACTCTGAATATCAACTTACTGCTTGGTGTCTTCACTTGGATTTCTGCTGGGAATATAAAACTTTGCATTCTGTAAACTTAATCTTTGGATCTTCTCCAATTTACATTCATTCCACTTACTAGAATCACCATGTTTCTAATCACTCAGGCCAGAAACTCCATCTCCTCACTGTTGGCCTACATTCAATCTGGCAAAATCTGTTTGCTCTCTCCTTAAGATGCACCCAGAATCCGATCCCTTCTAGTCCCCTCCACTGTGGACTTCTTCATCCAAGTCAACATGGTGAGGTTCTCTGATTTAGGAGAAGGCTCCACTGGGATAAGCTAGGTTACATGAATCAAAGTGATCTCCTGAATCTCAGTGCCACAGAAGGTGTTATCTGTCTCTGGTGCAAATGCCATGACATGATTCCCTCACGTGGTCTGTTCCGATGCTGGCTTCAACAGCAGTTGTGTCTAGAACATTGACACCCTATTACATGGCCAAGGAACAAGGAGCATGGTAAATGATGAGAGGGCTTTGAAAGATTTGCGTGGACCTGCAATATGTTCCCTCTGCTTCCATTGCATCAGCCAAAACAGGGACATGTTTAGTGCAACAGGAATACACACCCAACTCTTGTTATTCATACAGGTTGTGTTCTAGTGGGTCATAGCAAAAACTGAATTAGCAAATACTGAACCATTACTTCTTGGCTAGGAAATACAGGGCCAGGATCTTGTGAGTCTCTGTCACAATATTTTCATCAACTGAAATACTATTCATCGTCATCCATGTGAAACGAGCTGGACTCCTCAGGATTGAAAACTTGTTCTCCCACATAGCCCTTTTCCTGTATAAACACTGACAAGATGCTTCTTTAATCTGCGTGTTGATATTGGAAGAGTAGAAGCAAAAGCATCACTGAGACTTGGTTGCAGTTGGTCTCACCAAGTTAAGGAGGACTTTGAAGAAATAAAAGTTATTTGGAAGAACCCCAGTGGTTTTCGTGTGTGAAGAGAGGATGAAGTAGTGTTCTGAGGCCCCTTACACCTTCCAACTTGTCTCAGACTCTGTCCTAGAACCCTGGGATGAGAAAGCAGGACCCCTACTTCTTGGGCTTCATGATGGGTATGTAGAGTCAGGGCATGAGGTGACAGAAGGACAACATACCCAGGGGGATGGCAAGACAGTGGCTACATATCTGTGACTGTTATCAGCTCAGAGGAGCACAGCTGGAGACAGACACCTTAGATTGCAACTTAACTGACCAATCCAGACCCAGATCAGGTGCTTCCAGCCGTTAACTGAGTTAGCATGGATTCTTTACCCAGGTAAGTCATCTGCCCCAGCAGCTGTTTCTAACCTTCTCCCCTCCTGGTCTGCAGGACCTGCTCACCTGTGACCCTAGCATTCTTATGCCACAGGGCCTTTCAGAACTAGCATTCCAGCCAGGAAGGTTGTAATGTTTTCCTCACCGAAGGTAACAGGACTTAAATTTCTTTGTTTTTGGCTTCAAAAACAATACTTCTAAATCAATGGTGGCTCATCAGTCTGGCCTCTTTTCCCTCGAATTATGATATACTATAAATGCCAAATTTGCCCACTTTCTGGATTGGCCTTATATATAGATTAACAAGTTTCCCATTTCTTTTTCTAGATGTATCTTATTGTTGATTCATGAATATTAAACTCAGGGGCAGCAGCCCAACAACTTATGCCTGAGTGGAACGTATGCACATGGCAGCCTGATCTTCTCCTAAAGACCAGGAAGTGGTAGTTTAGCAAAATTACCAACCAGCAAAACTACCCACCAAAAATACACACAAAACATGCAAAAAGAAAAAAAATTCAGTGACTAGAACTTGGAAAGGACATTCGTTTATGGTATGAAACCTGAAACAAGAAAGAAGACATTGTTTTGACTTTGCTTGGGAATTTTATCCATTGGGCAACTCAAAGGTTTTCTTTACTTCAGATGCTTATTCTGTGACAAATAATTCACAGAACAAGCAAGCTGGAAATTGTGGAATGCAAGAAAGAATGCAGCTGGACTGTACCATTCGCCTGCAGGGAGAGTCCAGAATTTTCTTAACAGTCATGGAACTGATCCACTTCCTGGTCTCCGCAGGCAGTATTATTTCTTTATTCTCACCCAGCAGCCAGAGTGACTGGTTTCAAAGCACTTGAAATCGTGTGGCTTTTCTAAAAGCTGCCTGTTAACTCAAACTCCACTGGAGAGCTTCAGTAGCCTTCCAGGCCCACAGTTAGGCCTTGCCCTAAGCCCTGCTCCTCCTCGCATCTCACTCTGCTTATCCTCTCCAACCAGTAGCCAGTTGCTCCCCCTGCAGGTATTCTTCCCATGGCTTTTTTCTCACTTCATCCTTTGTTAAATGCCATCTTACAAGGGTGCTCTTCCTTGCCAAACTGTTTAAAATTGGCATGTAGGTTGTAGGCTTTTTTCTGCAATGGTGCCCGTGCACACTTACACTTTCTAAAAATTCTTACTTAAGGTTCCAGTTTTAAAATGTGCCCTTGCTACAAGCTCTTTCCAAGCTCTTTGGTGAAAGAGGCATAAAACAGCAAAGTACTGGCTAATAGGGGGATTAGGAGTGAAATAATAAATGAAGGCTCAATCCATTCGTACTTGCTCCACAGAACAAAATTCGGGTTACAGTAGGCACAGTACAGAAATGATAAGTAGGGTTCCCATGCATATTTGCTCAGAAAGGCGTAATAGTAATTATGGAGCTAGGAGAAGGGAAAATGAAGTCCCACTTTACAGACAGGGAGGTACATGCTTTGGCAGGTGAAGTGTGGTGTGACAGCTGGCAAAGGAGTGGCAGTTATAGTAGCACTCACTGGAGAACTAGAGGTATGAGGTGCAGCCTCGCTTGCTTGACTCTTAAGAGCATAGGAGGAGAGAATGTGTCGCTACAAATGTGTCGCTACGGTCACCATTCCATTCCTCCAACAGGGGATCCAGCTGTTCACAGAAAACGCTTGGCCCTAAAGAAGATGCTGCCCATAAAGCACCAAGGTTGGACTTGGTATGCAGTAAGTGCTTGGTAAATTCTTTCTATTAACAACAAAACGAGAATTGGACCCTGGGTCCTCTGTTCTCCCTGTTATCAGTCCACTGCAGGGCACGATAGATAAACATCTTTTAAGTATCAGATTGCTCAGCAAGTATTTCCTGGACATTTACTGCGTGCTGTTTGGACAAGCACTGGATGAAAACAAACATCCACTTTGTACAGATACACTCAGTTTGTGTTCAGTGTCATGTAGTGGGAGCAACCTGGGGATGGGAGTAAGCACACTGCCCAGCCAGGCTGAGTGCCTGGCTTCCTCCAGTCCCAGCCGTGGTGCCTTCAGGAAGTGGTCCCAACTGAGGCCACTTCAACAGCCTTCAGAGATTCCCAAGGGCTTGTTTGCCCCATAGATTTCTAGACCAGAAACTTCTGAATTTGCACAGTAGTTCAAATTAAGTTCTATCCTTTTCATGTCTTCTTTGCTCTCTAGTTTTATTTTACTTTGGTCATCTAGTAAGTAGCAATCACTCATCCACACACCCATAAGCAGCAGCAATAGCAGCAGCAGCAATAACAACATTAGTGCAATACAGAGAACTGTATGGAAAACCAACATGATTTACTGGAACAACTTGCATTCAGATGCAGTATAGAGTCTGTGGCTTATTGGCTGTGACACCTTGGTAAGATTTATCTTATTTATTCATTTGCAAAAAAGTGATTGCCAAGCCTATTGCAC